AATCTGAAAATCTGGTCACCTTATTGTACTTGTACTTGATGCCTCTTCACCCATCGTGGGTATAGGCGACTTCCATGGAGATTTGACGCCACTGCCTTCGGTCCTGGGCTAGGGTTGTCAGGTGGTGCAGCCAGTCGCTATCATATGATTTTCGGTTAGACGAACACCTCCTTTTGGCCGTTTCCAGGTCGGACCAGGCTGTTTGGAATGGATACGGCGATCCATGGAAGCTGTTTCGGCTGGATATACCCAAGGGGACGCCAGTCCCAAGGGTCGACAGAGCCCGATTGGTGTCATTCAGTGTATGACACACCCAAATTTTCACCCTCTTTTGGGAGGAGAAAAGGTGCATCTTATACTCCAAAAAATACAGTAATACTAACATGCAAATGTATGTTTAATTTTATCAACCATTTACATTTTTTATTCCTGTGAGTAGTTGTCATAGAGTCTGCAGTACGCTGTTTTGCCCGGGGGCCCATAATGCTGTTAAAACGGCCTGTACTCACCAAAACAGGTTGCTTTCTTAGTTGCTTCACAAACTCCTTGGATCCTGGAGTAATTGTTTCAGGCGCACAAATGATCTGGGGGAACTGATGGACGAAAGAAAGGAACAATCTGAAAGTCAGCAGGAAGTAGTGCCCTACTTCTCAGCTTGAAGAATAAGTCACAGGAGACCTTTAATCTTACATTGTTTATCTTTTCAACACTGAACCCTTTAAAGCTGGGGTAATTTTCCCAAGGAGCCACATGAGAAACTGGAACCGTTATGGAGGGCTGAACCAACAGGCTGAACTTAATTCTGCTCAGTATTAATTTGATCACTTTATAAAAGGAGGCGGGTTATACCGTGTTTCCCCCCAAAATAAGACAGGGTCTTGTTTTCTTTTGACCCCTGAAATAAGCATTTGGCCTTATTTTGGGGGAGATCTTGTTATTTTTGAGGTGCAGGAGGTGGCGAGCCTGGTCACCTCATGGCTGCTGCTGTGTTGCAATAGTTTCAAGGAGGGCTTATTTTAGCACATGCACTCAAAAGCCCGATTGGGTTTATTATCCGGGGAAGTCTTATTTTCAGGAAACAGGTTATGGTTTTGATTAGGCGCAACAATAGCAATAGCAATAGCAGTTAGATTTATATACCGCTTCATAGGGCTTTCGGCCCTCTCTAAGCGGTTTACAGAGTCAGCATATTGCCCCCAACAACAATCTGGGTCCTCATTTTACCCACCTCGGAAGGATGGAAGGCTGAGTCAACCTTGAGCCGGTGAGATTTGAACAGCCGAACTGCAGAACTGCAGTCAGCTGAAGTAGCCTGCAGTGCTGCATTTAACCACTGCGCCACCTCGGCTCAAATTTACATTTGATTTCTAATTTCCAATTGACCTCATGCAGGCCGGACAGGGACATCCAAAGGACTGGATGTGATCCAAGGGCTGTAAATGCCCAGGTCTTAGTTAAGTGGGGGATATTGAATCAATGTATAGAGCGCATCCAGTAGGTATTTTATATAAGTCTCTTAATTACACTGAGAATTAATGAAGGGAGGGAACAAAAAGCCTTGCTTTTAAAGTACCTCTCCTATTTTGATGGTAAGTTAAGATTTCTGAAGAACAATTCTCTTCTGGGAGCAGAATAATCAACCAGCTAATTTATTGATTTATTTCCAGGAATGGCCATTTGGGTACTGCTGGGGAGCTGGCAAGGGTTGACTTGGTCCATGATGGCAAATCTATGCCACGCATGCCAGAGGTGGCACCCAGAGCCCTCTCTGTAGGCATGTGTGCAATCACTAGCTGCTCTTCTGGCTTCCGGCATGTGAATGCATGCTGGACAGCTGGTCCTCGTGCTTGCCGGAGCGCCGGAAACCCAAAGATCAGTTAGCCACTGTACATGCGTACCAGCCACCTGGTCTTCGGATTTCTGCTGCTTTGGAGTGCATATTCTAGTTTGGGCACTTGATGCCGAAAAGGTTCACCATCATTTATATCTGTTCAATTCATACCCACCTATTTATATCTATTTGGCCAAAAGCATTCAAATAACCTGAATGTTTTTGGACAAATAAGCATCAAAATAAGATTTCAGATATGCCTAAACCTCCCTTCATGCTTTTCTTCCGTTTAACTTGAGTTCCCCACTCAACCTTTTATTGTGCAATCTGGTAATTAGTGGACAAATTTCTCACTTTACAACTTTGCTACATCAGTATTATCTTAGTTCCATTAATCCAGGAGAGGCACTTATATTCTCATCTACACAGCTCCAGAGGAAATATACCTCTTTAGGGACGTCGAAGACTGGGTTCCAAATCTGAATTCCATTCAGCGACAGAGGAATATGAAATGTTACTGAAACAGAAGCATTCCGGTGATACGTGTTCTTCAGCTAAATTGGAAGAAAACTCAGCATAAGAAAATGCATAGACTTTTAGCAATCTTAGCACAGGTCAATACTTTGCTTTTATAGGGATGGGTCTCCCTTGTAATGTAGACATGGGAACTACAATTGTGCACTTAAAATTCTTTATTCATGTTTCCATGACTCCGCCTCCAGTACAGGTAGTCCTTCACTTATGACCACAACTGAGCCCAAAATTTCTGTGGCTGAGACAGTTGTAAATGAATTTTCTCCCATTTTACTACCTTGCTTGTCACAGTTGTTAAGTGAATTACTGCAGTTGTTAAGTTAGTAATACAGTTGTTAAGTGAATTTGGCTTCCGCATTGCCTTGGCTTGTCAGAAGGTCACAAAAGGGGATCGCATCAGAGGTGGTATTCAGCCGGTTCGCACTGATTCACCTGAACCGGTGGTGGAAATTTTCAGTGAACTGGTAGTTATGGCGGCTGGCCACACCCCCAAACTGGGCCCCCTGTCACCAGTTGCTCACCCTGCCCGCCCAGTCGCTCCTCGCTCAACTGATGCTTTACATACCGGCTCTCAAAGAGGCAGCAGCTGGTCGCAAGCCGCTGAAAAGTCCTTCAGTCAGTGAAAAAACTGTTGCCGTCGCCACCATGTTCTTTGCGCATGCGATTCCCATTATCTTGCAAGTCCAAGTGGACTTGCAAGGCAATGGGATGGTTCACCGACAAAACCGCGAAGCCCTTATTCATGCCGACATAAGTGCAGAGGGCAAATCCACGCCATCCGAAGCGCTAAGGAAAAAGGCAACCCTAGCGCGCCGACATAAGCATGGAGGGCAAATCCGCACCTTCCGAAGCACTCAGCACCCTAACCCTAACCCTAACCCTAATCCTAAACCTAACCCTAACCCTAAACCTAACCCTAACCCTAACCCTAAACCTAACCCTAACCTAACCCCAACCTTAACCTAAGCCTAAACCTAACCCTAAACCAAACCCCTAAACCTAATCCTAACCCTTACCTTAATTTAAATCGGCTTTCTGTAGCCGTGCTGTTTTAAAGTGCCCTTCTGTCGCCGCGCTGTTGTCGCCGTGGTGATGACGTCGCGGTGATGACGTCACGGCTTTAGCGACGCGGTTTTGTCGCCGCTATTTTGACGAGCGCGGTTTTGTTGGGCCACGCAATGGGATATGCATGCAGAAAGAGCATGGTGGTGACGGCAGCAGCTTTTTTGCGGAATGGAGGACTTTTCAGCAGCCTGTGGCCAGCCTCCTCCTCTTTGAGAACTGCTTTGCAAAGTGGCTCTCAAAGAGGCAGCAGCTGGAAGGCTTCTTTGCCAGCCAGCCACTTTCCAGCAACATCGGCTGGCTGGTGGGGCCACTGAAAACTCCGGTCAACTTGCCTTCCAGACTCTGGACCACCTGCCGCAGAAGGTAAGCAACCCAAGAGGCAATGGAGAGGGGGGGAGAGGGGAAATGTGGGTGACCGGTGAAGGGAGGGTGGTGGTAGATAGCAAAAAATCCTAAAACTTTTCTTACCTTTTCCTGTGTGCGTGACTATGTGGGGGGACCATGTGACTGAGTGGGTGTGAGCATGAGTGATGTCAAGTTGGCCATGCCCATTCAGTCACATGCCCCCCCACCCCACCCTAGCCAGACCCACCACACCAGTAGTGAAAACTTTTGGATCCTACCACTGGTCAATTGATCCTACACGTCAATTGTCAAGGGTCGTGTGATCATTTGCAATGGTCTTAAGTGTGGGAAAAGGTAATAAGTCACTTTTTAGTGCCATTGTAAACTTGAACGGTCACTAAATGAACTATGGTAAGTTGAGAACCATCTATACAAGTTATTCTGGTCTCTGGGATCAGAGAGGAGGGCTTTCTGAGTGCCTGGTCTGAGGCACCCTTGCTCCCTCCCAGGATGCTCCGTTCCAGCCTTGCTTGGCATAGTGGCTTTCCCACCCTCCCCCCTTTGTATCTTTGGAGTGGGCTAGAAAAAATGGAGGGAATGAGTGGGGCTTGGCAGGCAGCCTTGTTTGGGGCTGGGCTTATTGCCCAACTTGTCCTTACCAGATGTTCTGCAGAGATAATAAAGGAGAATATTTGTAGCTCAGGGTTGACATGAAGGGATCCCGGGTGCTCTCTGAGCTTGCTTGTTTTCTTGCAGACATTTCATTACCCTAACTAGGTAACATCATCAGTGCTAGTAAAGAGTGTTCACTGTCAGTTTATATGCTAGTGTCTTGTCTGCCTGAGTGGGTGGGTGGGAGAAGTCTTAGAGATCCCTTGGTTGGGCTGTTTACTCATGGCTCTTTGGCATTTTCTTGTTTGGAGTGTTGTTTACTTGGTCTGAAGGTGAGTTAATCTATGCTGAGCATTCATCAGGTGCATGGGTGCACAATGCATGCAATCACTGAACTAGTTGTTAAACTGGGTTCCACCACAAAACCACAGACGACAAAATCTCGGTCAACGAAAGCGCGCATTTGACGTCATCACAGCGCGACGAAAACATCGCGCTGTGATCGAAAAATGTAAAAATAAAGCGAAAACCTTACCCTAACCCCCCCAAACCTAACCCTAAACCTAACCCTAAACCTAACCCTTAACCTAACCCTAAATCTAACCCTAAACCTAACCCTTAACCTAACGCTAAACCTAACCCTAACGCTCTAAACCTAACCCTAACGCTCTAAACCTAACCCTAACCCTTAACCTAACCCTAAACCTAACCCTTACCTTTATGTGAATCGGCTTGCTTTAATTTTTTTTTTTTTTCAATTTTTAATTTTTTTCGTCGCGCTGTGATGACGTCAAATGTGCGCTTTCGTCGATCGCGCTTTTGTGGACCGCGGGTTTTACGGGTCACGGTTAAACTGGTAGGATCCTACTATTGGAGAGCACTCAGTGGTGGAGAAATCTGGTAAGTGGCTATTTCTGAGTAGTGGACATAAAGTACATTTTTACAGACTAACAGAGTTGGGAGGGACTTTGGACTCTTGGACTCTTCTAGTCCAACCCCCTGCTCAAGCAAGAGACCCTATACCATTCTGGACAAATGGCTGCCAAATCTCTTCTTGAAAACCTCCGTTGATGAAACACCCACAAGTTCTGGAGGCAAACCTTCCATTGCTTAGTTGTATTTACTGTCAGGAAATCTCTCCGTAGTTCTAGATACCTTTTCCTTCTTGCAAATGCTTCTCAAAGCATCCATCGCTATGTAAACTTGCTCCATTCTAAAGAAACACTTTCTCCATCTTAATAAATAGGCCTCTCTCTCTATTCTTAGTTCTTGGCCACAAAGCAAACCACATCCTTTTCACCTCGTATCGATGTTCCACAGTCCGAATTTCATCTTCCTGTCCGGCAGAAAAATCAACATACTTGGTTGATTCATCCAAGCTGGAAAAACACGATGAAAGATTAAGAAAAAAATATATATTATGCAATTGACCAGAATTTTGAGTTAATGAAGATTACAGTTGTGTTCCATTCATTCTTTAGCAATGTAAACCAAGAAAAATGGGTGGCTGTGAAACGATCTAACACTTCACAGCAACTTCTTGAGAGATGGCTAAGTAGGGGGAGGCCTTCTTCTCAAATGCTTGCAGCCACTTACCTATTGATGAAAACGTAGATTGCATACTTGACGGGCAGCTCCATTTGATGAAACGTGTCCTTCGTGACAGCGACCGTATTTTCACTGTAGGGATACAAGGAAAAATGGGCAGAGCTGCAAACACAGCAGACCTGAACCTCTCTTAATTGCAGCTACTAAATGCTGTGCTGTTCCCCCCTCCCCCCTCGTCACATCACATTCAGTATCATCTGATATCAAAGCGAGAAACTCGTTATCAATGAAGCTGAATTTATTTAAGGAACATTTGCACAACAGGATGTTTCCAGTTGTTGCTATATTTAAAGGCAGATCAAGGCTTGAGGTCAAAGGGATTTATGTTAGTCATGGCCATGGATAGGGGTCAACAACCTGCAGCTCTGGAGCTGCATGTGGCTCTTTCATCCCTCTGCTTCAGCTTCGTGTTGCCAGTCGGTGCCACAATTTTAAGAGGAGCTTCCAGTTTGGGTGGGGGAGAAGTACAGTGTGCCAAGAGAAGACTCTATGGTAAAGGGTGGGTTTTTCAGTCAGCTCCACAATTGATAGGGCTTTCAGCTGGGACAGATAGAGGAAAAAAGGTGCCGTACTAGGAAGAGACTCTATGGTGGGGGGGGAACCGAACCTCCGGTCAGCTCCAGAATTGAACAGGGGGCTTCCGGTTAGGACCTTTATGCCTCCCGTTGTTTTCTTTTCTGTGGGAAACAGGTCCAAATGGCTCTTTGAGTGTTTAAGTTTGCCGGCTCCTGGCCATGGAGATTGTTGCCATCGGTTGGGTATAGATCAGTGGTCACCAACTGGTGATCCATGAACCCCTGGTGGTCCATGAGAAAATTTTGGTGGTCCGCAGAAAAATTATTTGTATTTTTAAATATTGCACTAAATACTATATATCTTTTTTTTTAATTCATGTTAGTGGTACGTGGGATTCAAAACTATGAATTTAGTGGTCCCTGAGGTCTGAAAGTTGGTGAAATTCAGTTTTCAGTCTAGGTTATGAATTTTCTAAATATATTCACTTGATTCCTGTGCAACATAAAATATTGAACTAGATTACTTTATGCTGTGAATCCATCAAGGCTCCTAATGCTATTGTTATTATGCTTTGTGGAGCACAACACTTGTGGGATGACTTGAGGAAGCACTGTAAAAATTACTAGTGGAAAAACAACTGTAGACATCATGACGGCTAATCTGATTTACATAGGAGAATGTTTGCAAGAGCCGTAGTGGCCCAGTGGTTAGAGTGCAGTACTGCAGGCTACTTCTGCAGACCACCGGCTGCCTGCAATTTGGCAGTTCGAACCTCACAAGGTTCAAGATTGACTCAGCCTTCCACCCTTTCCAAGGTTGGTAAAATGAGGGCCTACATTGTTGGGGGCAATATGCTGACTCTGTAAACCGCTTAGAGACGGCTGTAAAGAATTGTGAAGCGGATATATATGTCTAAGTGCCACTGCTATTGCAGTTTTAGTCCTGGGAAGTTTTACCTGGTAGCTGTGGTACTGATCTGCACCTTACTTCCTAGATTTGCATCTTGGGAAACGAAAAAGCTGACAATGAAGATCACCTGGACCAAAGGAGACACAAAAGAAGGAGAGGAATACTTAAAGCAGAGCTGCATTATACCATTTTCTGACTATAAGATGCACTTTTTTGTCTCCCAAAAGGGGGTGAAAATTTCTGTGCGTCTTATAGATCGAATATTGCCAAAACCCCGCCCATCCTCCCAGCCTTTTTTTTGGTCTCTCTCCCCTCCCAAAAAAACAGGCCAAAAAAGCCTCAAAAGCAGGCCAAAAGAAAAGCCTCAAAAATGGGTAGAAAAAAGGCTGGAAAAGGGATGAAAAAAGGCCCCTAAAAGGTTCAAAAATGGGGCACACAGAGGCCAAAACCCTATTATGGTTGTTGTTTTCCTCTTGTAAATGAAGGTGTGTCTTATAGTTAGGTGCATCTTAAAATCCTAAAAATACGGTACATTCAATCCAGTTTTATACTTCATTAATAAACAGAAAGTTTGGCCATGAGAAACTGGAAGTTTCTCAGCCATTGTCGCAGCTCTGTCAAAGAGCTACAATCCCCAGAATTTGGGGGTGGGAGAGTGGGACATCGGAGTGACCTTTGTGCAACACAAATTTTAGAGTCAAATTTGTACACAATTATTTATTGCGAAGTAATTCTTTGAACTCCCAACTAGATCAGGAGCAAGACATTCTATCTTAATACTATTTTGTGATTTTTTGAGAACAAGCGATGGACATTCTCACAAAATAGCTATTATGGGCTCTTTTTATAGGGAATTGCTCAACGTCCATGGAGATTCTCAATCATTCAAGTCATGGCTGTCCTAAAGGTGTTGTTGTTTTTCAAAAGGCAACTGGACTTTGTTTCTTCCTTGAAGACATTTGGCTTGTCTGGTGGCCCAAGGTTGAGGAGGAGGTAGCTACTTGGGTTGGCCGTTGCACACCCTACCAACTCTCCCACCCTGCCCCTCCAGCTGTTCCCATTAGAGACTGGGAGGTTCCTAGAGGAGCCTGGTCTAGGGTCCATTTGGATTTCGCGGGCCCCTTTCACAGTCAGAATTTCCTGGTGGCCGTGGATGCCTACTCCTGTTGGGTGGAACTCCTGTTCATGGCAACTACCATTGCAGAGTCCACCATACGGGCATTGCGGCAGGTGTTCGGCACGCATGAGTTGCCGGACACAGTCGTGGCCTCAATTCACTGCCGCAGCCATCCAGGATTTCCTGACAGGGCAAGGGATCCGCCACGCCCCAACGGCTCCCTATCAACCTGCTTGCAATGGCTGAGTGGAATGAGCAGTCCGCTCAGCCAAAGAAGCATTGGGGCGCACGGACCGGGGGGATTGGCGGGATAAGGTGGCGGCTTTTCTCCTCGGCCAACACTCCACCCCATGTCCCCTGTCCGACAAAAGCCCCGTGGAGCTGCTGATGGGCTGCCGTTTGTGAACCACCCTAGACAGGCTGCACCCTCTTTATAATGACATGCAGCCTGGTGACCTGGGGGTGCATCCATGCCTCTTCGGGGAGGGGGACCTGGTCTTTGCCAGGAGTTTCTCAGGGGATCCAAGGTGGGTGCCTGCCACCATCACCGGTCCCTGTTCTTATAGGGTCAGACTTCCCAATGGCAACAAGTGGCAGCGCCACGTGAATCAACTAAGGTGCTGCCTACCCCCCAAGGCCTTCTCCCAATCAGGCCTCTCCTGCCCGACCACCACCTCCTGGCAGCCTGCCCAGCACCTCCTCAATCCGTCGCGACACCATTTCCGCATCAACCCACCAAGGCCTTCTACCAATCGGGCCTCTCCTGCCCAACCACCAGCTTCGGGCAGCCTGCCCAGGCACCTCTCCAAGCCATTCCGTCGCCGCTAATTCACCTACCTGTTCCAAGCTTGCCGTCTCCTTTGGTAGGCCCGGATGACTTTACCCGGACTTCCACTCCCATTAGGTGGAGCTGCTACAGGGACGACCTACCTCGCCAACCGCTCCTCTGCAACTGTGTTGTTCTGGGCAGGTCCGGCGCCGCCCCGCCTATCTAAGCGAGTACACATGCGCTCTTACTGCGCATGCGTACCCACTGGGGGGGGGGGGAAGGAATGTTGAGTCGTCAACTTACGACCGGTCCTAGGTCCTCAACTTATGATCGGCCGCAAGATCTCAACTTACATCTGACAGTCGACAACTGCTCAGCCGCGCCTGTTTGCTCCATTTCCATTGGTTGCCCTGCTTGACAGCTCACGTATAAATAGCTGTCAAGCAGGGCGAGGTGCTGAACTCTGCACATAGTTATTCTGGTTAGCTGTCCTTTTGAAATAAAGCTGTTCTACTTACCTCAGCCGTTCCATTTCTCTTCAATCGTCCAAGAAGCTTTTTCAGTTCTGAAGAAAAACTGAGGAAGCTTTTTGGATGAGAAGTGAAATGCCTTCAAGGAGGAAACAGTCCAGTTTTGAAAAAGTAACTTTGGGACAACCATGACCTAAGAGCCGAGGTGGCGCAGTGGTTAGGGTGCAGTACTGCAGGCCACTTCAGCTGACTGCTATCTGCAGTTCAGCGGTTCTAATCTCACTGGCTCAGGGTTGACTCAGCCTTCCATCCTTCCGAGGTGGGTAAAATGAGGACCCGGATTGTTGTTGGGGGCAATATGCTGACTCTGTAAACCGCTTAGAGAGGGCTGAAAGCCCTATGAAGCGGTATATAAGTCTAACTGCTTTTGCTATTGCTATAGATAACTGAGACTCTCTATAGACATTTTGCAACAGGAGTTGCTACTAACTCTTGATTTTATAGATAAAGCCAACCACCACAATTGGACAAAAGATTCCGCGTGTTGGAGTATTACCAACACCATGACAGCCTTTGAATGGAAATGGTCAACCTTTCTTGGACTTTAGATCGATACTGTCAATTATTCTGGGGTCATAGATGGGCACTAGACTAACATAGAAGAGAACAGTACCTCAGCCATGCTCCGGAAGATGGGCTGATTGATGCCACAGGTAGTATTCCTCACAGATCCTTCTGCAGCAGGAAAAGGGGTGCATTTAATGACCACGTATTTTCTGTTGGACTGAGGAGAATGATCATGAATATAACTAGTTATAGACAGCACCTTCTTTGGAAATTTCCCCAGAACACTCTCTGTTCTGGTGTCTCTGATTTCTTTCTAATCTTCATACCTGCACTAATATATATCTGCGGTAGGACAGTGAAGATGGGTAGATGAAAGTCAGGTTGGTGCTATAAGAATCCTCTCCATCATTCCGGAGGAAAACAGTAACATTGAGGTCCAGGGTTAGGCCAACTACCAATTCGTTCAAACTGAAAATAAGAGGGAAAATGTCGTAAGTTGATGGCTACTTGCATATACCATGCAAATATATTACAACATGCGATGGCTGGGAAGAACTTCATGCATATGAAAGGCCAACTTCAGCTAAATTGAAGGTAGGGGTAGCTGCAATTTCACATTTCTGTATATATAATAATAATAATACGTAAAGGTAAAGGTTCCCCTCGCACATATATCCTAATCGTTCCTGACTCTAGGGGGCAGTGCTCATCTCCGTTTCAAAGCCGAAGAGCCAGCGCTGTCCGAAGATGTCTCTATGGTCATGTGGCCGGCATGACTAAATGCTGAAGGCACACGGAACATTGTTACCTTCCCACCAAAGGTGGTCCCTATTTTTCTACTTGCATTTTTATGGGGTTTCCTTCTGCGAGGTTGGCAGAAGCTGGGACAAGTAATGGGAGCCCACTCCATTATGTGGTGCTAGGGATTCGAACCACCAAACTGCCGACCTTTCTGATCGACAAGCTCCACGTCTTAGCCACTGAGCCACCCTACATAATAATAATAGTAAATTCAGGCAGTTGAAATTCATCCAGCTAAAAGTTGAGAAAGACCGAGATAGGACCACACCAATTTCCAAACAGAGTAGTTTGGTAATGCAGCAAGAGTTCTGCCTTATACAAGTAGTCCTCACTTAATGACCGGCTGCCTAGTAACCATTCGAAATTATGAAGGAATCCCCCAAAGTGACTTATGACCTGGTTTCAGAGTTCTACTGGCTGCTCACATCTCATTTTGGATGCTTGGTACATTGTTCGCTTTTATGGCCATTTGCAGCATTCTGTAGTCACGGGAACATGAAGTCTGTGGAAATGTGGCTGCTATAAAGATGAAAAGCATACTGTACCCTGAGAAATTGAAGGATGTTTTTAACTGGTCTTTACAGATTCCATCTTTTCCACAGTCCTTCTCAAAGGGCAGCTACGAGGACATGAGGGAAGAATGGAGAGAAAATATCAGTCTCTATGAACAGGTGAGATGAAGGATAAAATACTAGAGCAGGGTTTCCCAATCCAATGGTGACTTTAAGAGTCATGGACTTCAACTCCCAGAATGCCACAGGAATTCCCAGACATGTGGAATTCTGGGAGTTGAAGTCCATAAGTCTTAAAGTTGCCAAGGTTGAGAAACCTTGTAGAGGTTGAATCCATACAACATGCCTTTCAATTCTAAATCTTTCTGTGTAGAAGTTGATACCACATTTATTATCGTCTTGTTTATATCACCACCTGTAGAAGCTTGGAACATTGATTCTCGATTTAATTCCGAAAATCTTGGACTTAGTCCTTCGGAGATAGAACTCACTGGGTCACACCTGTAACTCAATTGGATTCCATGATGGACTTGCATCAATGTCATTTGAGGGAGCACCCCTTCCCAATTACATCTGCCAGTTCCAGTAGATCCAGCAGAGGAGGCGTGTTGCAGGCCTTCCTCAAGTAGAAGAGGTGTGTTATGGGTCCTATTACTACTAAGAGTCTGCTAAATTGCTATTATCTGTCAGGACCCTAAAGATAGACCTTTTCTGCTATGGCACCCACCTTAAGGGATATCATCCAAGATGAGGCTGGGCCTATAGTACTAACAATAACACTTATATACCAGTTCATAGTGCTTTTACAGCCCTCTCTAAGTGGTTTACAGAGTCAGCATATTGCCCTCAACAATCCAGGTCCTCATTTTACCCACCTCAGAAGGATAGAAGGCTGAGTCAAACTTGAGCCAGTGAGATTTGAACTGCCGAGCTGCAGCTAGCAGTCAGCTGAAGTAGCCTGCAGTACTGCACTCTAACTACTGCGCCATATCAGCTCTTATCATTATTAACTTTTGGTAAGTTTTTTAAAACATGACAATGCCATCAAACTTGTGAGATTATTTGTTGTCCAGAGTCACATTTTGTGGGAGGTGCAGCTATATAAATATGATGAAAAAATAAATAAATGTTAAATTAATCTCCGCCAATTGACTAGCTGAGCTTTTATGACCAGAGAGTCCTTTCACATGACAAATAAAGAAACAATTTGTTGCTGAGGTAAAACTTTCAGCAGAACCATTTTTGATGGAAAGAATTTGCAGAAGGAAGTAGAAAGGCTTGTCAGACACCTGTTCTCCAATGTCAGCTCTATAAAGTAGATTAGATTAATAAACAGACACTGAACAGACCTAAAGCTATGATTATTAGAATAGCTGTAGCAACAAAATCTTGCACTTTCCTTCCTCCTTATTCATGAGAATTAGTGAGGGATGGGGCTATCTCAGTATTTTTGTAAAGCATTAGGCTAGTGCAGTGGTTAGAATGCAGTATTCCAGATTAATTCTACTGACTGTCAGCAGTTCGATCCTGACTAGCTCAAGGTTGACTCAGCCTTCCATCCTTCCGAGGTGGGTAAAATGAAGACCCAGATTGTTGGGGGCAATATGCTGACTCTGTAAACCTCTTAGAGAGGGCTGTAAAGCACTGTGAAGCGGTATATAAGTCGACGTGCTATTGTTATGTTTGTAGCCTGATCACAAGCCTGGTTCATTTCATCATTTGTTTTTATTATCAAATGTATGTTGCCATCCATCTGAGCAGAAGATGGTGAGATATCACTGTCGTGGTGGAAGATCTTCCTTCTGCCCTTCAAGGCCATTTTCTATACTCACTACATCTTTGTGCAATGGTACCTCATCTTTAATGGCTTCAGGGAGACACAATGAATACCAAACAACTTTTTCCCAAACGGAATAATGTAGGGAATCACAAAGCAGCTATCATTCCCGCCAGTCCACCCCGTCACTCACTTTTCATTTACCACCATTTATGCATCTCCCTTCATTCCATGCACATACACAATAAAAATAGGTAAGGCAGTATATGCAAGGAATGAACAAATGAAGGAAAAACTACCTCCCTTCCTGAATATCTAACTTGTGTGTTGAGTACCGAACAAGCAATAAGTACCAGCACAAAATGTTTATGTCAAAATGCGTTAAGTACCAAATCCGATGAGTTTAAAAGCAGTTGAGTATCGAGGTACCAGTATATTACGCTTCGATTTCATACCTTTTCTGTATGTATTTTCTGTTCAAGCAAGTGACACTAGAAGAATGCACACTGAGCATGTACTTACAGATGCCGGAATAAGAACAGGTGCGTCTTTCTGTAGGATGGCCCGCACATTGTTGGCACGTTGGATGGGCTCTCCTATCAAGGTATAACTCAGCTGGAGGATTATGGGGGTGAGGCTGTCTTCTATGCAAGTCTTTTCATCAGGGGAAAACAACAAAAGAAGAACTGCTTGATTTCATGGCTGCATCTTATGTTTCACATTAAAGATCAGACTTTATTTATTTGTATGTTTGTTTGTTTGTTTGTTTGTTTATTATTTATTTATTTTAAAAACCTGTTTTTGATCTGAATCCTGCCCATCCCCACCCCTTCCAAAACCTCTTCTCTCACCGGTAATTTTATTCGGTACTGCCTGGATTCTGGCCTCACACCAATCTTCATCTCTTCTGTGAGGGTAGACAACTCTGAACCCTGGTTAAAAACGGCTCGTACTTTCTGTCGGCCAGGATCCAAGGTCAAAGTGTACCGAATGGTGCTCAAAATGTCACTGCCTGAAGGAAATTACAATCAAATTCAGAACACCTGGATTCTAAAAAGGTCCTTGATAAATAGTACAACTTCCCTTACAAGAGCACAAAATTTTGGTGAATTATAACTAGGAAGTCCCTTCTATTGCCTTGGATTTCTCTGAGGACGTTGTCTTTAAGGATGCTAGGTTTAATAAAGGATTGTATTGAAATATTACCCTGGTGTATTTTCCACAATTATTTATTTATGAAAGAAAACTGCAGAAAACAGTGAACAAAAATCCGCTAGAGTGAAACCCTCTGATTTTATGAGATGCTACTCCAGCAGTGAAATTCAGCAAGTTCTGGCAGGTTCTGGAGAACCAGCAGCAGAAATTTTGAGTAGTTTGGAGAACCGGTGAATACCACCTCTGGCTGTCCCCAGAGTGAGGTGGGAATTGAGATTTTGCAATATCCTTCCCCCAGGAGTGCGATGGGGAGATTTTGCAGCATCTTTCTCCTGCCACGCCTACCAAGCCATGCCCACAGAACCAGTAGTAAAAAAAAAATGAATTTCACCACTGTGCTACTCAGATCTCTGGAGGCTTCCTATGGACAGACACAAATCAAAATTGCACTTTAGAAGATCCCAACGTTGCCCTTCAGAATGCAGATGAGCTGTAGGGAAGAAATCATCTGAGAAATTGTGCGGAAGCCCAAATGGTACCTTTGAAGATCTGTAAACTTACCGAAATTAAATCGGGAATCTTCCTGGATTTTAAAGTTGACTGTTGCTGTGCTGATTTCCTTGTTCAGCATTTGCTGGTCCCCACACTCAAAGGCAGAGATGGGGATCATAGTTGGGTTAAAAGTTATTCCAACCACCACATTGACCACAGGTCGGGCTCTACAGCAGACATAAATAGGCAAATTTTTTTTTCAAAAAATGTCATTTAGATTTACAAAGTGCACATAATCCTCAACTTATGACTCAGCAAACTTTTGAAATCATGACAGAACTCCCTGGCAATAGTTACACCCTAGATTTGAATTTCCAATAGTTGTCTGCCACGCCCCAGACATATGACCACACTTTGGGCATTTGGCAACCGGGCCACGACAACCATTTGCAGTATCCTATGGTTGCACAATCGAACTTCATGAATTTTTGGTTTTTAGCAAAAGCATGGTCATTGCAAACAATTGGTTCACATAACTCTTGTGGTCTTTGCTTAACAACCACCACAGAAAAGGTCATTAAAAACAGCTGGGTCAGCTGGGTGACCTGTTTCACAACTCTCATGAGACATAATCCAGCCTGAATGTCATCTGTACTTTTTGACCTGACTGACAACTTACAAAGCGACATTTCCATAAATTGGTGTTGCACGTGTCCGTGTGTGTTTCCGTACAGATGTAGGAATTACATTACTTTTCCATTTTAGCTATTCTGTTTCCCTCCCTGGATAATAAGCCCAATCAGGCTTTTGAGCGCATGTGTTAAAATAAGCCCTCCCCTGAAAATAAGCCCTCCCAAAAAATATTGCAACACAGCAGCAGCCATGAGGTAACCACACTCGCCGCCTTCTGCACCTCAAAAATAATAAGACCTCCCTGAAAATAAGGCCAAGTGCTTATTTCGGGGGGCAAAAGAAAATAATACCCAATTTTCAGGGAAACATGGTAGCAAAATGTTTGAGACCAAACCTAAGCCTTCTTGTCTTTCCTGATTGGGCGTGGTCGGTTTTGCTTTTCCTTGCCCCAATCAATTAAAAGATTTAATTTACAGATCAGATTTCTCTTACTCCTCATTAGAAATGGACAATTGTGTACCTGGAAGCCATCTTTTACATTTGGGTCTTCAGGCCTGCCATGTTTTCTACTGTGGGAAAATGGGAGGGGGGATTGTATGGAATATGGATGATATAGTCAAAATAACATTCTTTTCTCAGAGAATCAGGGACAGTTTGCCTGGCAGCTGAGTTGAGGTGAATGGGAGGAATCTCCAGTTTTGGATGGTGCCTGATTGGATCATGTGATGGACATGTGGGGGCTGGGCAGGGACTTGAACTTTCTTTTAGTTGGGGAAAACATGGAAACTTTCAGATTCGGGTTCCCCCAGATGTGTGCCAATATGACATCTGTAATAAAATGGAACTTTGAGGAAACTCAGGTCTTGGAGTCTTCTTTCATTGGGGGTATTACTTGGAAACCTGACACTCTACTTCAATACTTTGAAAGGGTGAATTCACACCAATAGTTTTTACATAAAACATTGGAAAGTTGTAAGATGGGTAGTTATATAAATGCTTTAAAGGGCAGAACAGAACTGAACTGAACAGAGCAGAATAAGTACAGAGAAGAGCAACAAAGATATTAGGGATCTGGAGTAGAGGTTGTATTCAGCCAGTTCTCTTCAGTTTGGGTGAACTGGTAGCAATGGCTGCGGGAGGCTCCCCCACACCCGCCCCCAATGTAATGTGCAAGCATGCACACACTCACATTTGTGAACTGGTAGGGAAGGTAACTGATCTGGAAGCTAAACCATGCAATGAACAATTGAGGGAAATACCCATGTCTAGTAAACCCTAAGGTCAGGGGTGGGTTCCTGCCGGTTCTAACCTTTTCTATAGAAGAGGTTCCACAAATCTACAGTGCCATTTGGGACTGGTTCCCGCTCCCTCCCCACACCCGTCCACACATCATCAAAATGAAGAGTGAGAGGAGGAATTCTGGAGTTGAAGTCCACAAGTCTTAAAAGTTGTCATGTTTGAACACCCCTGTGGGGTTTTTTTCTAAAGGGTTAGGGGTGCAAAGGTCTTGTAACTTGACAGCTTTAAGACTTGCATGCTTCAAATGCCAGCGTTTCTGAGGCAACTTTTTGGTTATTAAGCAAGAGCTTTGTTAAGTGAGTTTCACCACATTTTACAAGTTGGCCGCACCCACCCAGTCACATGGCTGGCAAGCCACTCCTACAAAGCAGGCCACACCTACAGAAGAGGTTCTAAAAAAATTCGAAACCCACCACTGCCTAAGGTTGACATGCTAGCATTCTTCCAATATTTGAGGGAATGTCACAGAAAAAGTGGGGGTCAACCTTTTCAAAAATGCACCTCGAAGTTAGGACAAGAAATAACGGTTAGAAGATTATTAAGGAGAGAAACAACCTAGAATGAAGGAGAAATTTCCTGACAGTGAGAACAATTAACCAGTGGAACAGCTTGCCTCCAGAAGTTGGGGGTGCTTTATCACATGAGGTTTTTAAGAAGAGGCTGGACAGCCATTTATCCAGAATGGTAGAGGGCAGTGATGATGAACCTTTTGTGGCTCACATGCCAAAAGTGGGGGGAGCGCAGGCGGGGGTCGTGCATGGGCGTGCTACACCCATAATGCTATGCGCACTACAATGGTGGGTTTCAAAACATTTTGGAACCTCTACAGAAGAGGTGTGGCCTGTAGGTGTGGCCTGCTTTCCGGGTCCGGTTCGGTAGATTTGACAAACCGGTTCTACCGAATAGGTGCGAACTGGTAGGAACCCACCTCTGGTGCACTACCCCTGTGCACATGCGCACACAACCAGCGCTCCCCCACTTTTTTTTGCCCCCCCCCCAGGCTTCAGAGGCTTTATAGGAGCCTGGGAAGGGCGAAAACAGCCTCCCAACCCTCCCCCCCGCCGAGGCCCTCCAGAGCGCGAAAAAACGGCCCAAGGACAAACCGAACGTTTGGGAACATACTTCCGGTTTGCTCGTAGGGTAGTTTTTTGCCCTCTGGAGCCTTTAGGCCTCCTGAAAGCTCAGGAGGGCTAAAATCGCCCCTACAAGCAAACTGGAAGTACGTTCCTGAACTTCCGGTTTGCCCTTAGGGCCGTTTTTTCGTGCTCTGGAGGCTTCAGGAAAGCTCCTGAAGCTTTCGGAAGGCCAAAAATGGCCTCAAAAAAAGGCTGAAATCAGCTGGCAGCTGACAGGGCAACACCTCGCGTGCCTATACAAATGGCTCCACGTGCCACTTGTGGCAAGCGTGCCATAGGTTCGCCATCAAGCAGGGAATTGGACTAGAAGATCTTCAAGGTCCCTTCCAACTCTGTTATTCTATATTCAGGATATAACAGAACAGAATAGAAATCAGCCTTACCTTAGGAGCAGCACTTGTCCATCAGCTCCAACAGCCAGATCTGGGAGTCCGTCTCCTGTAATTTCTGACCCCCCATCAATAGCTTGTCCAAAATATTGAAGCCTACTGGCAAAGGCAGACGCTGGGATGCGCTGCAAAGAAGAAACATAGCAATGGCACTTAGACTTATATACCGCTTCACAGTGCTTTACCCACTAAGCAGTTTTTGGAGTCAGTGTATTGACTCCAACAATCTGGGTCCTCATTTTACCGACCTCGGAAGGACGGAAGGCTGAGTCAAGCTTGAGCCGTTACGGGTTAAACTCCTGGTTGTAGGCAGAGTCAGCCTGCAATACTGCGTTCTAACCACTGTGCCAACACGGCTCATAGAGTAAGAACATAGAGGGGGGGAGGGGTGAAAGGGATGTGGGCAGCTGAAGGCTCACCTGGCTAAAAACAGGGTTGAGGGAACTACTTGTCCCCTGGAAGATGTACACAGCTCCTTGATTCTCATCCTCCAGCGGTGCCCCAACAGCAACATCTGTCCACCTATCCCCAGTAATTTCCCCAGCTTCTGTTATGCTGGTTCCAAAGCGGCCCAATGGGTGCTGGGGCTCCCCTTGCAATTCCACGTTACAGGAAAATGTTTCTCCCTGAGAAATGGGGGTAAAGGAAAGACACGTGAATTGGGGGTGGGGGCAGCGTTTTCAACAGAAGCCATTCTGCAATCAAACCCATTAATAACAGCCCAGCGTGTATTTCTGTTCACCTCCCCTGCAGGATGTGTTCCAAAATGTCAGGATGGAGGCCGCAATGGTGCAATGAAAGCTTCATAATGCACATAAACAACAACAAAAACAAAAACAAAAACAAAAACGGGGATTGTTTGGCACTGCTGACATCTTGACTTTTTTGGCCTTATTTTGCAGCCACTCCTGCGCTGCCACACAGCTGGACCATTCTACTAGTCAATTCACATCTGCAATCCTTTGTCTTTTTGATTCTCCAACAACTTGAGCTAAATGCTGTTATTTTTCCTCAGAATTCATTGTAGCTAGACTCAGCCTAGCTGCTTGAGAAAGGCAGAGTAGGGTAGGGTAGGGTGCAGTGGTGGGTTTCAAATTTTTTTAGAACCTATTCTGTAGGTGTGGCCTGTTTTGTGGGAGTGGCTCAGCGGTCATGTGACCAGGTGGGCGTAGCCAACTGGGAAAATGTGGTGAAACTCACTTAACAACACTTTTTGCTTAGCAACCAAAATTTTGGAATCCATTGTGGTCATAAGTTCATTCTTTCTTCCTTTCTTTCTTTATCTCTCTCTCTCTTTCCTTCCTCCCTTCCTTTTGTCTCTCTCTCCCTTTATCTGTCTATCTTTCTTTCATCTCTTTCTCCCACTTTCTTTTTCTTTCTTCCTTCCTTTCTCTCTCTCTTTCCTTCCTTCCTTCCTTTTGTCTCTCTCTCCCTTTATCTGTCTATCTTTCTTTCTTTCATCTCTTTCTCCTACTTTCTTTTTCTTTCTTTCTTTCTTTCTTTCTTTCTTTCTTTCTTTCTTTCTTTCTTTCTTCCTTCCTTCCTTCCTTCCTTTCTGTCTGTCTCTCTCTGTCTGTGTCTGTGTGTGTGTCTGTCTGTCTGTCTCTCACTCTGTGTATCTCCTCCCTCCCTCTGTATGTGTGTGTCTGTCTGTTTTTCACTGTGTGTGTGTGTGTCTGTCTGTCTGTCTCCCTCTCTCTCCCCCTCTCTCTCTGTCTGTAAGCCGCTGTCGTGCCTGGATCAAGCTGAGCTGCCTGTCCTTCTTCAACACCTCCGGGGTTACACATCCATCATAAAATCCATCGGGTCATCCAAAGTAGAGGGGCTCAGCATGACCTTGGTTGAGTGCATGCAAACGCTCAAATCCGCTGCTCGCCACTCCTCAACTAGTTGCAAAGTTCTATCCAGAGATTCTGGCGGTCAGAGGCAGCGTTCACCTATAGAGCTTTGGCAAAGGAGATTTTTTTTTCTGCGGGACGGAGACTGGGCGGCTGGGAATTTCCCCGACATGAAAAACGCCGAGATCGGCATGCTTGGGACTGCTGCTGCGATGTCCAGGGAGGCTAAACCAAGCCGTGCACCTCTCCCATCCAAGAAACTTCGCGCTCTTCTCCATGCTTTTCTCGGTTCATCGCGACTGCAATAGACGTCCAGAAGTGGCGGGGGCTGTCGGGCTGGAAACCCAAGCCCCATTAGCCACAAAAACTGCCGCGCCAGCAAAGAGCTTACTTACCTCCTTGGCAGGTAGCAATAGAGAGCCAAGGACTCTCTATAGGGCTCTTAGAGGCATGGTGCGGATGTGGGGGGGGAGCGAGCGGACAAGCAGTGAACGGATGGGCGGGGCCTGGGGGTGAGCGAGTGAGGGGGGAGTTCCACTGGTGGAACCGGTTCTGAAGTGCACGCTAGATTTGTGGAACCTCTTCTAGCGAACCGGTTAGAACCGGCAAGAACCCACCCCTGGTAGGGTAGGGCAGGGTAGAATAGAACAGAATAGAATAGAAAATATGGAACAGAACAGAACAGAATTCTTTATTGGCCAATTGTTATTGGACACAGAAGGAATTTGTCTCTGGTGAATAAGCTCTCAGTGTACACTCAAGTAACGTGATAAATCATGATTATAATCATAAAATACATTCATCATAAATTATAAGATCCAACACTCAGTGATAATCATAGCATACTAAGTAAGCAATCAATGTGAATCATACTAGGATTCTAAATAAAACAATTAATATAAATAATAAGATACAAGTAACAGAGTCATAAGAAGATAAGGAATAATTAGATAAAATGGGAAGGATACAGTAATAGTAATGCAGCCCTGCTACCACAGCACAACACAACACAACACAACACAGCACAGCTCCAACCCACAACCCCCCCAGTCCAGTTCTTTACTTACCCGCCTTTCGCAAACGTAGACCTTTCCTCCTGCAATGCCATCATAGTACATAGGGGCGCCAATGAGGATCAAATCAGTATTTCCGTCTCTGTTCAAATCCACAGCACACAGGGAAGCCCCAAAATATGAGCCGATCTGGGGGGACTTTAAAATTTCCATTTTAAAAAAATATTTCCCGAGTTTGACCAGTTTCCCTGACCAGATGCCCCCCTCCCTTTTTTTTTCCTTTACCCCCCAGTGCGTCCCAGCAAAGCCTCCATTGCCAGCGACAGGAAGGAAATTAACTTTGCACTGATCACCAGCACTTCCTTTTAATGACCCCATAACCCCTTGCGGGGTGGAGTCTGGGCAACTGAATGGAGCTAGTAGAGTGTTTAATGGCCAGATGCCCTTCCTGTCACCAGTGCAGAGTTTTGTTCAGCAGATCTAGTCTCACTGTGCTTAGAGAAAGAAATACCTGCCTCTTCCTAGGATCGAACTCACAGCCTCCTGATTCTGAGGCAAGAGCTCCACTGCACCACTCCAGCTTTGCACTGATGATGTTGCCTAATTTGGTAATAAAACATCTGCAAGGAAACCACCCAGGTCAGAGAACACCAAGCAACTTGAAATTTAGCGTAGGACCTATTAGCTTAGGACGCTGCAGCCAAAGGTGGCAAGAGCTGTGGATCCATTCAAGCATTCAACCTCTGGATAGATAGTTGATGGATTTCCACTCAAGAATATTCAGATTCATGGCTCCAAAGTTTGGAAATTCCTTATTGGGAGCTCTTCCATGGCATTTATAGTAGTTTTAAATAGCTGCTATTTAAAACTACTATACATGCAATACAAGAGCTCCCAATAAGGGATTTCCAAAACATTGGAGCAGGTTTCTGATTTCACGAAAGGGTATATATTCAGAGGCTCAAACGCCTCCTTAAATCTGGAGGGGCTAAAAAAAAGTTGAGGTTTAGTAGGTAGCTATAAGGCTTTAGGACTTTATTTGTTCCAATGCCTGAAATATTTAATTTTTTTCTGGAATTAAGGAATGTGCTTTCAGTGGGAGAAGAATATAGAATAACAGGCTTAAAAGGGGCCTTGGAGTCTTCTAGTCCAATTCCTGCCCAAGCAGGAAACTCTACACCAGTGATGGCGAACCTTTTCAGCTCGTCTGGGACATGTGCATGCTAGAAAATGAACTTCTGGTTTCCAGTGCGCGCCTGCACGCCTGGTTACTGACCCATATGCGCACATGACAATCAGCTGGCTGGCATGCATGCTCACGCCCGGCTCTTCCAGTTTCCAGCACTGCTGCCCGCACAAAGGCCAGCCAGTCGTGGCACATGCATGCGTGCCAGAAACCCGGAAGAGGAACGGACGATGCCACATGTGCCAGGCGACATGGCTCTGTGTGCCACTCTGTGGGTCTACATCATTCAAGATAAACGGCTGTCCACTTTCTTCTTAAAAGCCTCCAGTTGATGGAGCACCCACAATTTCTGGAGGCAAGGCTTTCCGCCGATTAATTGTTCTAATTGTTAGGAAAAGTTCTAGGTTGTAACTCTGATAAGTTTCCATCTGTTATTTCTTGTCTTACCCTCTGGTGCTTTGGGGAAAAGGTTGTCCCTCTCTTCTCTGGGACAGCCTCTCAAACATTGATATGAAGAGAGAAGTCTTCTTCTCTGGTTGATGGACCATACACCCAATCAAAATACACTTACAAGTTAAATCAGGGGTGTCAAATTCAAGGCCCAGGAGCCGGAGCGGGCCCGCGGGCCCACCCTGGAAACAGCAAAGGACCATCTCACGGTGCCTTTGCCAATGAAAAGGGGGCTCTGGGAGGCCGCACACAGCCCACTGCAGCTCCATTTTCCCTCGCAGAGGGCTGCGAAATGGAGCCTGGAAAGACCAACGTGGCTGGAAATGGGGCTTCAATGAGTGACATCGAGCTGGCCATTCCCACCCTGGCCACACATATACACCCCACCGAACACAGCCTCGATGTGTCCCTCAATGAAATCGAGTTCGACAGTCCTGAGTTAAATCAATTCTGCAGGTCATCAGAACTCCATTTACCTGCCCTAAAGAGAGCTCTGACTTCGGCTTCCACTGTCTTCTCCTCTGGCTGAACCAGACGACTTTGCCCACGTGTTGATAACGTGGGGCTCCCACCACGAAGCTGCTCTGTCCGTTGAGTCGAACTTCTTGAATTGAGTAACCTGGTGAGGATGCAAGAATGAACAAGGAAGAGGATGAAACAAAGGCGCACAACTTATTTACAGGTTTATAAAAGGCATTCTCAACTAGCAAGGATAATGCAGATGCTTCTGGGGTATATTTAGTCCAAGATTAAAATTAGCCACAAGCAACTGTCCATGGCAGCAAGAACAGTACCTAGATCTCCCTTCCTTATATCCTCAAGTTACATTTTTAAATAATATTTTTTTATTATTTAAGTTTCAACACTTTGCATTGTAATACAAATTAACACAAAAAGGAACTCTGAACCAATAAAGTAACAAAATAAATGCCTCAAACAAACATAACAAAAAGTGAATCCTGACTTTATTTGAACACAGAGATATTAACAATACAACCACTTCATAGAACATAAAATCATAGAGTTGGAAGTGACCTTGGAGGTCTTCTTGCCCATCCCCTTGTTCAAGGCAGCAGTCTCATACCATCCCAGTCAAATGGTTGTCCAGTCTATTCTTGAAAATTTCCATTGAGCAGTTGTGGAGCATCCACAACTGCAGAAGACAAGCTATTCCTTTGATTAATTGCTCTCACTGTCAGAAAATATTTTCCTTACTTCTAGGTTATATCTCTCTTTGATAAGCTTCCACCCATTACTTTGTAGGAAGTTTAAATCCCACCCCTCTCCTAGAAAAAATGAAATATCCTGGGAAATATTGAAAAGGCAGAATATTATATTTCTCTGGATAAGGAATGGAGAAATGTGTTTTTAGGCAGGAAACAGACTCACTCTTAATAGCCCCCACCTTTCTCAATGGGCCATTGGGGGCTCTGAGCTAGTCTACTCTACCCAACAAAGATAGGATTAGCCTTCTACAGAAACTCACCACAAGGCATCTGGGAAGAAGCAATACTCAACCAAACTTGGACTCAAAGTACAGCCTAGAGAGTTGCCCCTGCATGGCCCCATGGGAGTCTGACAACCAATCAGAATGAATTTCTTACACAGGAACAGGAAACAGAGAGATGGGGTCGAACAGAGATCATAAAGCCAGAAATTTTCAGCATCTCATTCTCTTTTCTTCTTCATCCAACATCTTGAAGCATGTGGTCCCCCTTTTCTGTTCGAGAGCTTAAGCCATGTGATCTTGTCCACCATTAAACCATCTTTCCAAGCAGTCTCCATGTTTCTAGTGTCTTTTTCCCCACTTGGAACTGAACCTAGAAGGACATTTCTTCTTGTCCTTATTTTCAAAAAAATAAGTCAATTCCCTCTTCTTTGTGACAACTCCACAAATACTGAAAGACAACTATAATGTCCCCCCCTTCTCTTTAATAGACTAGACATATCTAGTCCCTCAACCATTCATCATATGATTTCGTTTCAACCCAGAAGGATCTAGAGCAATCATTTTTCCAAGGCACCCGAAGGCCATAATAAAGAAATAATGGATGGAAACTGAACCAGGAGAAATTCAACCTGGAAAGAAGGAAAAAATTTCTGACCGTGAGAACAATCAACCAATGGAACAGCTTGCTTTCAGAAGTTGTGGGAACTTCATCACTTGCGACTTTCAAGAAGATATTGGACTGCCATCTGTCAGAAATGGTGTAGTGTCTCCTGCTTGAGCAGGGGGTTGGACTGGATGACCTACAAGGTCCCTTCCAACTCTGTTAATGTTTTGAATCTGTTTTGCGGGAAGCCCCTTCCTAAAAGAATGTAATATTTTGAGAAACATTTTTTTAAAAGCAGAATATTATAAAGGAGAAATGGAGAAACATGTTTTTAAAAAGGAAGGAAGCAGCCCCAATCTCCCTACCCCTAAACAGAAATTGAGCAGGCAGCTTTTAGAAATGCAGATTTGGTAATCCATTCAAGACAGGATATTTTGAAACTCCCTGCAGCAAAGTCTGAACAAAGGCAGAATGGTAGGATTAGCACCTCTCCCAAGATCCAAAACAGGATGAAAGCCATTAAGACACAATAGGAATTGCCTCTTTCAGAACACAAACCCCTTAATTGTGCCATCCCCAGCGCAGTCCAAACTTCAACCAAACTAGCTCAGACAAACACCTAGGATTTGCATTTCCTTTTGCCTATAGAGCCAGCTATGACCTCTACATGACCCCATAGGAATCTGACAACAGTCAATAGAATATTAATGGACATGTTCTTGCACAGGAACAGGCAGCTCAAATACAAAGCCTAAAGAACTCCATTTTGTCAGCTGTACCAGAACCATGGGCTCGGTTGGTTCTGTTCATCGTTAAACCATCTTTCCAATCATCCTCCGTGTTTCCAATGTCGTTCTCCTAACTTGGAAATGAAACAGATTGATATTTCTCCCAACACTTTGCATGTGACTCTTACCAAGATAAGCAGATTTCAAATCACTTGTGGAACTGGAGATATTGATAAAAGTCGCATCATCCTGGCTGTTGAAAAGGAAGAATCCCCCAGCCCAATCGTAGGCTCCAACTGCCCCCAGTAGGGTGCCACTCTAAAAAAGAACCAGCAAAGCAGAGATGTCAATCAACGGAAAGAAAACAAATACTTCAGGTGGAGATTGTTGTCTTCCTCTTTTCATAGGACACTAAGACATTTTGATTTTCCTTTTCTACAGTCCACCGGCAATAACCATGTCTGGGACAAATCAAACATTCAAAAAATCCCTTACTCTGCAAGGTACCTCTGAAATCAGGAACCCCAAGAAGTCTAATTTTGGACACTTTCCTTTCAGACATTGAAGTCCAGAAAGATTAAGGCTTCTACCAATGATTTGTCCAAGAAAGCCCACTAATTTTCACTTCAACGGGCCTTTAATGCTGAATTGCTTTCCTCTCTGTTTTATGTTTCTACCTAAGTCTGACAAGCTACTTATCAACATCTAATTTGCATTGGAGAACCTAGGATGATGGTGACTCACCTGGGTGTGTAAGGCACTGAATCCTTCCTGAGACAACTCTAACTCGAAGGATTGAGAGCTGTTTCTAGTATTCTGGGATTGAGTGCCTGCGGAAGGAAGTTGGAAAGACAAAGTTCAGGCCCTGAGATGCTTTACAGCAGGGGTGTCAAACTCAAGGCTCCAGCCCGCCATGGGGCTGGCCTGGAAATAGCAAAGGATTGTCCTGCAATGACTGCAGCAGCCAAAAGGGGGTTTAGGGGGAGCCCTGTTTTGGCTGGCAGGGTGCTGCAGAAGGACATCCAGGCTGAAAAAGGGATGCGGAGTGACTTATGCACCGCTCCACTCCCCTCCCCCTGTTTTGGCCGGCAGGGTGCTACAGGAGGGGTCCATACCATCTCCCTCACTACACACAGCCCACGGAGGAGAACTACAGTGCTGATCTGGCCCTCAAAGAAATCCAGTTTGACACCCCTGCTTTATTGGATCAGAGGGTGGACCATGCTGGGATAGGAAAGGATGCAATGGAGCAGAAGAGGGAATCAAGTTGACTGAAAGAAATATCGAACAAGTATCTTGGTGCAACCTAATGGCTTTGGGATGGTAATGCTGTTGGAGCAATGGCAGGCCAAGGAGATGGATAGTCTGTCAACTTAGTTCTGTGCCATTTATTTCAATGGAGGTTTAGTCAATGGATACAATTCAATGGACACAGGTCACATTTCCAACTGGCAAAATCAAGAATGGATGGATGGATGGATGGATGGATGGATGGATGGATGGATGGATGGATGGATAGACCGATGGGTGGATAGATAGATAGATAGATAGATAGGTAGGTAGGTAGGTAGGTAGGTAGGTAGGTAGGTAGGTAGGTAGGTAGATAGATAGATAGATAGA